CATGCTGGGTTTCGAGTTTTGGGTTTCGGCACTCAAAACTCGGTGATTTGTGCAATGAGTGAAAAATGGACATGTTGTGTACATATTTTCGGGTCTCGGGCTTCGGGATTCGGCCCTCGGCACTCGGACCTCGATGATCTGTGTAATATAAATGAAAAATCAACATGTTGCATGCCGGGTTTCAAGTTTCAGGTTTTGGCACTCAAAACTCAGTGATTTGTGCAACAAGTGAAAAATGGACATGTTGCATACATATTTTCGGGGTTCGGGGTTCGGTGTAGAGACTCATGCCTCTCATGGTGTGATATGGCAGTATTCACTAGGGAGTACACAGCACGAACTTGCAGCATCACTCTGTGTGCTATCTGCAGCTATCCCTATATGAGGCGCAGCTTTCCCGCGCAACGCGCGCCATGCGCGCACCTTTCCCGCGCTTTACGATGTATACGCGCGCGCGCTTTCCCGCGCTTAATCGCCCTATAGCGCAAGCCTTCCGGAAGCATCCATCCACTGTCCACCAAGCTCTCTAGTGCGTGTATTTTCATTTCCCTTATTTACATATCATTCCACCTTTATTTATATCATGGACCCTTACTTACATATAGCTTTACATACCTTACTCGGTAGCGCTTCGGCTCCGCGTGACAGTGCTTAGGCGCCATATATAAGCGCCAGCATTACATACTATTAGGAACTTTCGAACTTTGGACTGGACCTCCCACTTACCCACTTACCACCTAGAGAATATAGTTGCAATCTATTCTTTGACACCTCGCGCTCACATCTCTTGTTATTCATCTATCATCACTTAAGCAAACTCACACTTACTCTCACTTGTTTCCGCTCACGCGCGCGCACGCTTCCCGCGCCTCGCGCGTACCTTCGCTTTCCCGCGCCTCGCGCGTACCTTCGCTTTCCCGCGCCTCGCGCGTACCTGCGCGCTTTCTCGCGCTTCGCATTGGCCGACCAGTAGCGCCTTCAGCGCCTACTTCCAGATCCTTGCTGCACTCGCTTCCCCTTTAGGGTCGAACGCACTTGTCGTCTCAGGTATAGCAGACTAGGCAACGCGCGACCTCACAACATTTACAGATACAGTTTGGAGCATCATTTGTTCCTCTCAGTATTGTTGTTTCTACATCGGGTCTTGGCCCTCGGCCCTCGGCACTCGGAACTCGATGATTTGTGTGATATAAATGAAAAATCAACATGTTGCACACTGGGTTTCAAGTTTCACACTTTGGCACTCGAAACTCGGTGATTTGTGCAGTGAGTGAAAAATGGACATGTTGTGTACATATTTTCGGGTCTCGGGCTTCGGGTTTCGGCACTTGGTACTTGGCACTTGGTTATTTGTGTGATATAAATGAAAAATCAACATGTTGCACACTGGGTTTCAAGTTTCATGCTTTGGCACTTGAAACTCGGTGATTTGTGCAGTGAGCAAAAAATGGACATGTTGCGCACATATTTTCGGGGTCCGGGGTTCGGATTTCGGCCCTCAGAACTCGGAACTCAATGACTTGTGTAATATAATTGAACAATGGACATGATGCACACTGGGTTTCGGGTTTCGGCACTCGAAACTCGGTGATATGTGCAATGAGTAAGAAATGGACATGTTCCATACATATTTTCGGGTTTCGGCACTCAACACTCGGAACTCAATGATCTGTGTAATGTAAATGAACAATCGACATGCTGCACACCGGGTTTCAAGTTTTGGGTTTCGGCACTCGAAACTCGGTGATTTGTGCAGTGAGTGAAAAATGGACATGTTGAACAATGGGTTTCAGGGTCTCGGGTTTGAAAAATAGCATAATAACAACTTTCATGTTTTCATTATCATTTGCCTATATTGACTACCGAGTCCGATAAGGGACCCCTTGGATGATCCATTGCTCAATGAAATACTACCTGATTGGAAGTGTGCTGGTTATCAGATATTCATTTGTCGACTCCCGGGTCCTGGAACTCAGAAGTCGGTACAGTTGACCCAAATTTGGGTGGTCGGAACTTGGCGTCTTGTAGGGCAACACAAGCTTTGCACCCCGGATTCCAAATTCTGCAAGACAACCTGTCCACCATCAAAGGCCATGTCAGGAGATCACCTGCTGCTCCGGGAACTCGGTAACTTTGATTTATTACCTCCTCTGATTTGGTTGATGTACAACTACCTCAGCTCCATCATGTCTACAATTATGATACACATGGGCCCACCCATCTATATTTTATACCACCCTCGGCCCACCCATCTAATACAACATCCCATACAACACCCTCGGCCCACCCGTCTAATACAATATTTTATAATACCCTCGGCCCACCCGTCTAATTTAATATGTGTCTGGGCCCACCCATGAATGTGATAACAAGTACCTACCCATCTATCTCATACACATCTACCTTAATACACCCATCTGCATAATATCCAATTACCTCGGCCCACCCGTCTACCTAATATTCATATACATCGGCCCACTCATCTACTCTATATATTCCCTGCATGGGCCCACCCGCCTCCATCGGGAATAATTTCCCTCCCGGCCCATCTGTCATAGTCGAGGATATTTTTATCATGGGCCCATGGTCCGCTGGCCCGTATCATACGGGATATTATGCATGTCCGTTCCCTCGTATTATATGGAGATAGGTCACTGTAATATGTGGCAAGTTTGTGCTGTGTACTCCCTAGTGAAAACTGCCATATCACACAATGAGAGGCATGAGTCTCTACACTGCACTCATCCGGAAGTTTCTCGCACTCGTCTGGAAAGTCCTTCCAAACTTTCCCGCGCTTTGGATGTCCTTTGGATGTCCTTGGACTTCCTCCAGACATCATTCTGAAATTAAGGGCACATACTCGGGTAAGGGGCACAGTGCAAGAGCTGAAGCCAAGCCCCTCGGAATCAGTCCTACCCTTTGTGCACGGTCTTAACATGATGACCACATGCATGCATGGACTCTTCAGGAGGAGCCTTGCTGAATATAATAGGAGATGTTTTGTCTATAAAATGATTAGTTAGCCATATTAGAAGTGAATTGATTCACACGTACTCAAGTCTCCACTCTTTTGTTGTTCAATGGTCAATCTTAGTGATGGACAGGTCCAGTTCGGTCTGGTTCTCTAGGAAATTCAGAGAACCGTGGACCGGTGTAGAAACAACAATACTGAGAGGAACAAATGATGCTCCTGACTGTATCTATAAATGTTGTGAGGTCGCACATTGCCTAGTCTGCTATACTTGAGACGACAAGTGCGTTCGACCCTAAAGGGGAAGCAAGTGCAGCAAGGATCTAGAAGTAGGCGCTGCTGGTTGGCTGATGCGAAGCGCAGGAAAGCGAAGGTGCATGCAAGGTGCGGGAAGCGCACACGTGCATGAGCGGAAATGAGAGAGTAAGATTGAGTTTGCTTAAGTGGTGATATGATGCAAGACCAGAGATGTGAGTGTGAGGTGCCAAGGAATAGATTGTAACTATATTCTGCTAGGTAGTAAGTGGGTAAGTGGGAGGTCAAGTGGAAAGTGAGTTAGGTGAGTAATATTATTGTACTGTTGGCGCTTATATACGGCGCCTAAGCGCTGTCGTGCGGAGCCGAAGCGCTACCGAGTGAGGTATGTAAAGATATATGTAAGTAAGGGTCCATGATAAGAATAAAGGTGGTATGATATGCAAATAAGGGCAAATGGAAATACATGCACTAGAGAACTTGGTGGATAGTGGATGGATGCTTCCGGATGGCGGGCGCTATAGGGCGCTCAAGCGCGGAAAAGCGCGCGCGCATATACCTCATGAAGCGTGGGAAGTGTGCGCGCATGTTGCGCGTTGCGTGGGAAAGCTGCGCCTCATATAGGAATAGCTGCAGAAAGCATGCAGAGTGATGCTGCAAGTTTGTGCCATGTACTCCCTAGTGACAACTGCCATATCACGCAATGAGAGGCATGAGTCTCTACACCGGACCATTGGTTCGGTCCGATAATGGTCTGGTTCCGGTTCAGCAAGGGTTCAAACCAAGAACCAGACCCAAAAAATGTCAAACTTCATATACATACCTTGAGTACAAATGTTCCGTCCCATAGTCTTACAAATAGGTGTATGTAAGTTTATTTCTGTCTCGACTCGATGTTTCATATAACTCATGCGTGTTTAGGGTTTTTCTTGCCACTATTTCTGTGTCCATTCGACTCTCGACGGCGCCTCTCAAGTATCTCACATCGCATTCTCCCGTGCACTCTCATTCTCACTCGCACGCAGCGCATGTAGACTCGGCTCTGGATGGGGAGTCGCAGTGAGTGAGTCTGTTGATCCTCCTTCAAGCTCAAGCCATGCTGATCCAAGTTGGTGCCCGCTGTTCGCAGTTCGCCTCCTTCGAGCTTGAGCCATGCTCCTGGTGAGTTTTAAAAAAAATTGAACTCATATATACTACAGCTAATAACATCTACACCGTGTCATAGATTTACCCTATAGTATCTGTAACCTGCGGGTACACCCTTGATGGGGTCCATAAGCTGCATCACACACAGCGTGTCATGAGCGCAGCCGCACTGTGCCTGGCCCATGTAAGTCTGGAGATCAAAATTTTTGTGCCATCCCTTATTACTTGACAATTGGTTCGAACCTGTTCGAACCAGGTTCAAGAATTCTGCAGGTTCTCGAACCATGGACCGGACTGACAGTTCGGTTCTCCCTATTGCCCGAACTTTGAACCGGACTTTGGTCAGGTTCAAAACAGTTTGGGTTTAAACCGCGGTTCAGGACCGGACCTGGCCATCACTAGTCAATCTGCCTGATTGCAAGGCATCTGCAAGTATGACACATTCACGTTTATCAAGGTCGCTGATGCCTTTGGGTCATGCAACTGTTATGTGTGGCTCTCCTGGCATTAATATGTCTTCAGGATACCCTCTCATCACAAAATGGTGACATGCCAGCTTGGCGGGTGATTGTGCTGCTAATTTTCTGCTGAGCTTACTAAACATCAAGGTCATGCCGACTTTGATACATTATATGTGGTCGGCCAGTGTCTTCCAATTGAGATTGTCGGGGACCTCCTGTACCTCATCATCCTCTTCTGCTACCGCTGGCATGCACATGCGCCACCCAGGCAATGCTATTTTCTTTTCTGGAGGCTTGAGCTGACCCTCACTGTCAATGTCCTCAACAACAGCAAGAGAAGCCTGGTGGCTGAAAAAGAAGTCAGTTGAAGTATTAAGGCAAAAATATAATTGACTTACTACACATGAGCCTTAAAATGCCCCACCATTGTGTCCTCATTGGCATGACAACGGGAAGCCCAAAACTACAAGAACACACAGTCAGCAAGGCCTATGATACACCAATGATTAAAAATTACCTCTTCTGCACCAGAGGTCGTGTGTATGTACCTGATTGATGCATCTTGATTCACAACCTTCCCACACATAAGCAGTGCTGCTTCAAAGCCATGCTTTGCGGTGGCCAGATCTAGCTGGATGCTCCATCAGTGCATGAAAATTAAGTATACAATGTAAGACTTACCAAGGATGTCACTTTCTTTGTCAACCTCGTGAATTCTTGTGACCACTGTGTGACAGTCAGAGGCGGGCCTGAAGCTATCCGTTGTAGAGACTGACATCTCTGTGGCCTCATAGAGGTCTATTTTCTGATGCATGTTGAAATGCTAATCATTACCCAAATCATTCCATATCATATTTGACTCAATACACACCAAACCTGAAAAACATCGGACATTGGACATTGGACTTCGCACATCAGACATCAGACTATCGGATCTCACATTGGGTTTCACATCGGCCTATTGGATATCATGCGCACTTGGCCCACCTATGTCCTGTCTCATTACCCTAGCCCCACTAGATGTGTAGTTACTTGTTTTCACATTGCTAACATTGTAGACCACATTATTACATGTCCACAGCGCCTCATGTCTTATTACATAGGACATTGGATCTGAAAATATTGTGCTACTACTTTCACCTATAGGGTTCTGGATTTCTACGTATCTACATAAATATTGGACTCCCCATAGCATCATCATCATCCAAGTAGAGGAGAGCCGTTCTCCGACACTTGGGGGTCAAACCTGATATTTCGTAGTTCTTAGTTGACATTGCGAATATCATTGTTCCTTCACTGCCCGTATCCGTCATTGCTATTATTGCACATACCACTAGCTTTCCTGACACTCACTATTAGTTTCCGATAACCCGAACCCGATAACCCAAAACCCCGAAAACATCGGACCCAATGCTTTTGCATCAGACATTGTAATTATACCTTCAGACATTTTTTCCCGCACTCAGACTATTGACCCCACATCACTCACTGACCCTCAAAACTATTTCCAGACCACAGACCCCTGGGTCAAATGCACTTGTCTCACCAAGTATAGCAGACTAGGCAGTGCAAGACCACAACATAAAGAAATCAGTTTGGAGCCATCTTTGTATAGCCCCACTCTGTGTTGTATTCCTACAGCGTGTTGTAGATATAGCCTCTATGAGGCTACAGAGATGTCAGTCTCTACATCGGACTGGCACAAACTATGAGCGCAAGTGATGAACACCTGAGCTTCTTTTAGCTCTGCTTCTTTTGAACTTTTTCTGAACCTACACTACAATTTTTAACCTTAGTCCTCTTCAACAAATATCTGATGGCTCGTCCAACTATTCATAACATGGCTCAAGAAGGAATTGAGGCTGCGCGAGAAAAGAACAGACACTATTATGCCAAGTATGTCATAATTTTGTTAATTGTTCCCAACACTGTTCCTGACACCTACTTGTAAAGACATAGAGACACACTCTTACAATGGTGGAGGATGCATGGTGTAAAGAAATGTGATAAGGAAGCAGAGGTGATAACAAAAGAGATATTGAGAGCTGTGGAAAAAACATTGCATGGCCATGACGACAATGAGTCTGAATCAGACACTGATAATTCGAGTGACGATGATGAAATTGACACACTGTAAGTTTAAAAATAGAAACATAGATTGAAACAAGAAATTAATGTCCAACAGATCTGATCTGCCAGCATGCTTACACACTATCAAAACCACCAAGGATGACATGCTCGTATTGATTGGTGCTGACCCCTGTGAGTTTGCCAAGGACAAGTTGGCTGAGTATGTCAAGAGCATCCCAGATGATTGCAGTGCTAAGGGTGATATTTGTATCATCATGAACTCAATCAGTGAGATTGAAAATATACTCAAGCGTGTCATTGCTGCACAAGACAAAATCCTAAATTTCTGTGGTCTCTCACCTGAGTGGCATGCCGCTGACACAGTTTCTCAATTATTGAAGACTACAGTCGCATACTTGGAGGACATTCAGCTTCTTGAAATGTCCGGAGGAGTTGTGGAGCTTACGACAGCACAATGGTTGGGAGAGCTAATGTATCAGAAGGGAGTCAAAATTTGAGTAGCATACATGATTCATGACTACATACATTCAGTCAAAATACAATTGCCATATGTTTGAGATGTATCATTCTAGCTATATGGCCTCCACACTGAGGTTCAGAAAATGTTGAGTGGACTCAATCCATACATTTAGCTACACATTGATACCACAAGTGTATGAAGGTAGTGACGAAATGCAGATATATGATCTTCCTTCAAAGCTGTACAGTGGCATCCACACAACATTGCCGCAATCATTGCAAGCACCCATATGCCACAGTCATAGCCATTAGTCTGAACTGCGGTCGTCTAAAGTTGAATTAGAATAAATGTATGTCTGACATGTGACATACTTACTATCAGTGGTTGCACGACCCAACCATCAAAGTTGATGTTGAATTTGAATGCACGTTGATGTTGCAGAGCAATATTGAAAAGTTGAACAATCAACTTCATGACATCCTAAATGTGTTGAGTCTTGATGAATCAATAAAAGAGGTACTATGTTAGTACTCACTTTGATGTCACTCTTCCAAGGTCATTGCTCAGTGAAGCTATCAAAGAGGTGAAGTTCCTTGCTTTGGAGGTGCACAATACACAAAACCCAGTGACCGATACCTGAGGGCCTATGAATCAGTATGATCCACACGTCTTTGGCCCAATAACCAGTCCAGGATATGTTGTGCCAAAGCATGTCATCTGACACATTGTACTAAATGTGGAGAAGGTCATTGAAGGTGAGGAATCTTGACTGTGGGTGGAAACACTAAAAGAAGGGGGCTCTACAGCAAGACCTGGATACGAGAATACGACTCGACCCAAAGGACAGCTACTGAGAGAAGTTCCTCGTGAATAAGGTGGAGGGAAACTCTGTCAACTAGACGGGTGCTGGTAGGCGTGAGAAGATAATGTGCATATGCGGAAGCGCACTTATGAGCGATAAGGGAAGTGTTTTCAAGTATAGTAGAAGCGTGAGCTGTAGCAGATAGAGAGGTATAATCTGATTTCAAGTACTAAGGTGCACTATACAACTTGCAGTATACTGAGATAAACGGGGGGAGAAGTAGTAACCAAAGTAAAAGGAACTTTCCCTTTATTTAAGAAGGGAGATAGCGCTATGCGGCATGCTTCCGAGTGTGGTACCGAACCGAGTAACCGTATCAACTCTAAATATATTCTAAAGTCTAAGATAGACTTTCTGTATGTAAGCGCGGGGATCAGACCGAGTGTACATCAATTCAGTGAAAGAGATAAGAATAATGCACCAGTAAATCAGTGAGGACATAGGACGGACGGATGGGTAGGTGCACGAGGACCTAAGGGGAGGCGCACGGATGTGAGTGCAAGGTGTGAGTGCATGTGAGGCGTGCGAACAAGGCGCGTACATAGGGCGTGTGTGCGGGAGCGCGTATGACTGATCCTTCGGATAAGGGCTGGAACATGTAGGGAATATGTGGTTCATAGGGCCGTATATCAGGCATTGAGAGGCGCCAGTCTCTACATCGTGCATGGACAAAATCGTGTATTGCTTGACAGGGGGAGAAGCTTGTAGAGACTGAGAGTAAAGCAATGCTGCACAGCCATTGATGAGGCTATCATTCAGTAGTGCAGTAGGTGATGTGAGGATCTTGATGTCCTTCGGTTCAAAAATTTGCTGTGGGAATGCATTGCAGGCAGGACGCACCCTGGTTCTGATGATTCCAGGGATAATAACAGTAGTTTCATTCATCAGTGGTACTGGGTCAATAATGACTTGCTAAATAAACTATGAACACACCAACATCTTCTAATGAAAGATCACATACCTTGGGAGTGTGCCAGGCTATGAGAGTGCAAGGTTTAGTTGGGATATTGATGTCTTCTCCGTCTCTACTGTCAGGACTGTTGACATTTAGGATGTCATCAAGGGTAACGTGTTCAGGTGGAGGATCATCAAAGGACGTAGCGATAACCTCTGGATTCTCTTCACCCTCTTCCTCCTCTTCCTCCTCCTCCAGGGGCATCAATGTTTGAGGAATCCAGCAAAGCACAGTTTCTTGGGAGGCGCCTGAGATCTGCATTGCCAATGATTCAGCATGTCTTGTGCGAGACTCAAACCGCAATGATGATGCAAGTGGGGTAGATGTTAAGAACGTGCTCAAGGGTCGGATCCGAAGGGCTTGGCTTCAGCTCGTGCGCTGCGCCCCTTACCTGAGTATGTGCCCCTAACTTCCGAGGGCTGTCGAACAATGTCCGAAGGTTACCGGACGATGTCCGGAGGGCATCGGGCAATGTCCGGAGTCCGATGTCCGATGCGCGGGAATTCTGGCGGACGTTTCGGGAACAAGAGATAAGACTAATCCGGACGAAGTCTGAACTAGAAAGGAAACAGCGGAGGACTACCAGAGGTAGAGGCGGAGGTGACAAGTCTATAGGAATCAATCCTAAGACGAGCGGAGGTCGACAAGAGAGAAACTCAAGTCGGACGGAGGAGAGAATGAGCAGAGTCTAAGATGATATTCAAACTAAGGATGTACATAGATTCTACAGGGTTTATATACTACTAAGGACTTATCGGAGAACAGAGATGCGCAGTCCGAAGCTATACAAAGCTGTGGACGGAGCGTATAGAAAAGTCAAACACTAGTCTATCGGAAAATAGTAAATGAACCCGGAGATTAGAACAGATGAAAATAAAGGCGGAAATGAAATGAGGTACGGAAAATGATATAGTCTAACTGGAGTAGGAACATACAAAGGGATAAGGCGCGGAAGTTAGACGCGGGTCGGATCCGGATGATAGAGAGAAGTTGGCCAGATCCGGAAGTCCGGAAATGATGTGTGTGTGATTGGTCCGGGTCCAGGTCCGGAACGTGGGATATGACAGTAGACCAGTGAATTTGAAGATGTCAGAGATGTTCCTGCTGCTGACGTAGTGAGATATAGAATCTGATGTCTGAGAAATGATTAGTGAATGTGTCAAGGATGTCAAAAGACATATACTTTCTGGTGACTGCAGAGCAAGTTCTATCACAACAAGTTCATTGCCAAACCACCTACAAAGATTGTTAGCCTCTATCCCAAGATGTCACTGCTCCTCAATGCATCTGTCATGCTTTAACATGGCACGTATTCCATCACGGTGTAGGGATTCATTTCTGGCTGGGCTTGTAGAGACTGTTTTTACCTTACCTTATGTTGGCACTTTTGTAGCTTACATAAGCAAGTTACCTTTTCACCAGTTACGAGTAGGAGTCAGAGTACTAAGCAGTTTTTCATGATATTTCCTCTCCTCTGAGCCTTGAGCCTGGTCCAGAAACCCTTTAGGGTCGAATAGCAGCTAGGTTCTGCAAGACCCAACATTGTTCAGACTCACTCTCTGAATTGTTGTACCTTCAATGGTGTAGGGAATTATTTCTGGCTAGCCTTGCAGAGACTGTTTTACCTAGCACTATGTTTGCACCTTAGCTTACATAATGAAGTTACCTTTTCACCAGTTCTACTATGAGTCTGAGTATTCAGCAAGTTTTTATCATATTTCCTCTTCTCTAAGCCTTGAGCCTGGTCCAGAAACCCTTTAGGGTCGAATAGCAGCTAGGTTCTGCAAGACCCAACACATAGTTCAGTATTCACTATCTGAAATGTTGTACCCACAACGGATGTCCTGATCATCCAGCCAATGTGGAACCTCCCGAACCGAAGGCATTATCCAGATGTCCTCCATCAAGGTTTGATTGTTACATAGCTCATTCAGCTTGGTGGGAAGAGGTATTGGAAGAGGAATGCTGCAACCTGGTTCATATAACTCTTTGAGGTGCTCACAGTAACCATTAAATTTACATAATGCAGCCAGCAAGGCTGGTTGCCACTTTAATATTGCCTTCTGGGTCTGCTGGTGAAGTTTAGTGCCTGAAAAGCAAGTTTTAATGCATATCATGAAGGAAGTACTAACTGCCTACCTAATGCTTGTTGTGTGCCGCTGACAGCATGATCAAGTTTGTCCCACTCAAAGAAACTCCCAATTGCACACTTCCAAATGTTAATTTTGAGGTCTCATGCCAAGGGAAGTGTCCGAACAAATTCAACATTAATTCCTTCCAGCTCAGGGAACTTGTCATGAATGTTGAGGGAAGCATACAGTACATCAACCTTGTCCATGAGGTGCTGGTGACTTTGTTCAAGGCTGTCAATGGCATCAAGTGTGTGCTGGGATACATGTCCCTTTAAGATCACCTCACTCGTTGCTTGAAGTGCCTTTTCAGAGGCATTGAGGTCACCCTGTAAGGAAAAGACAGTGTCCAGCTCCTTCTTGAGCCGAGTGGGTGCATCTGTAGAACACAATGAGAGAAAATCAGGCCAAACCATGTAAGAAAATAGGTATGCAAGGCTATTGTTGTTACGCACTCAAATAGGTCTGTTATGTGGAGCCCTAAGAGGGGCGTCATCCGCTAACGTTCGTGATGTAACCGGAAGGGTCCGGTACAGCAAGTGAGACTGGCGACGTTGAGTCAGCAGCTATCACAGACGCGCGTGTCACGTGACTTCTAAGATGACTGTCTGTGAAGTCACTGAAGTCAAAGAAAGGACAGGTCTGTCCTAACGATGACCGTTGATCGAAGTAGACTTAGATGCAACGAGCACCTAAGAAAGTCGTACTAGAGACAAGAGCTGAGAGGCTCTTGAAGGAAGTAGTTTTGAGGGAAGATTGAGTAGATTCAAGTTAGGGAATCTAATACAAGATGACCGACTACTTATACTAAGTGGAAAGGGTTGAGGGCTGGGTTACCATACTGTAGGTAAGGGCAAAGGGGAAACAGAAAGGGTATAGGTACGTTGGCAACACAGCCTGATTAGTGATGAGAGGTCGAATACAGAATGAGACCGATGAACGTTGGACCAGGCCAACGGTAGAGTTACAATGCACAGCAGGTGCAAGTCAAGGGAGACGAGAAGGGAAAGCCACATTGGTGGCGTGAGTCTGAATGAGTCATGGTGCCAAGGCACGTGCGCACGTTGGTGCGTTATCAGAGATAAGGCAGATGATGGGATGGAGACGAGGGACAGGAACGGTCCTGAGGATCCGGTCAATGGATATTCGGTAGAGGAGTACGAGCCGGTAGATGGTGAGGATGAGGATGAAGGGAAAATGATAGGGGGGCCACGTGATCGATGTTACTTGTAACAGTTGTTGTAAATTGCAAGTGCTTCATTGCAGATTCAGGAAGTATGTTGTACTGTAATTAATCAATGACAAGGTTCACAGACTCGTAGAAATGACTCACCTGACTCAACAATCAGGAGAGAACACATCCCACATCATAAAGGGTGACAACTGTGGCACTTTGAGGTACTAAAGTAAAAAGGTGATCAATAAGAGCAACAGAATATTTTTGCTGTTTGCCTGGAGTGTTGATGTTTGCAAAGAAGAGAGGAATGTCATGGCAGCAGATCAATGTCATGACTCCAGTGTCATCAAAGCTATCTATAGCTGCCTTTTGTGTCTTTCTGTCTGCAGCCTCATATGAATTCTTGCACAAGTCAATAGCCTCATAGGGTATGAGTGGTGCGTGCAGCTTTGGTGCGGACTTGCAGGACTGATCAATATGTTGACCAATTGCATCAACCTGGCCTTTCGGTAAGAAGTAAAATGGATCATAGAAGTGAGGCAAATCACCTGCTGAACACCAATGTCGATGATGGAAGTTCCCGTCAGTAGCAACATAAATATCACCACACTTGTTCCAGCTTCCTGCCAAACACAACTCCCTCAAAGCAAGCAGGACAATGCTGAAGAAGAATTGTGGCACAGCACTCATGTAGAACCACATCTATGTCAGGTATAGATGATGCGGTGTCTTACTAGGATGTGATTGGCAATAAAATCACCAGCTAATGTAATTCAAGGATTGGCTCAAGGTAGGCCTCAGAAGATCAGTATTTTGTGGGAAAAGATGACAAAAGAATGGAGGGAATAAACTTAATATTCACTCAGATGTTCACACAGATGTGGGGTGAGAAATTCAGGAAGATACTCAAATCCTCCTCCCTCTCTCTTAAAGGGGGATTGTCATTATTCAGAGGGGAAATAGAGCCCCTTATATACTACTCTAAATGTGGCTGTGTAACTATCTAAATAAGGAAATATGACACATCCTGACTCAGACAGAAAAATAACTCATAATGACTCAAACTGAGTCATCGTAGAGATGTCTTATGATAACTTGTTCACTTCTCAAATATTCTCATCTATCAACTTTCTCCATTCAAATTCCTGACTAATCCATCTCATCTTACTAATCCATTTCATCTGACTAAGCCATTAATCACCCATGAACTGTTGATACGTTGAAATGTTATATTGAATATGTTTCAGAACATACAAAAGAAATGTAAAGAATGTGTGAGAAAAATTATAATGTTGTGAGAAAAAATGCTGAGTAATGTATCATGGTATGTTTAGAACTTATCTTTGAATAGAATAAGTATTAATTGAATTATTATGTAGTGTTGTGGGTTTGTTATGTCTGAAAACTACTCAAATCAAATCATAATGTGTTATAGAAAATTCTTAGTAACTTTGTAGAGTACAGGAGAGGATATCAAAGCTCAAAAGTAGCCATGACCATACACAAAACAAGTTTGGTGCGTGTCAGTGGGATGCTCTGGAGGATCTCAAGAGGCCTCTACCAGGTCTCGGCTTACCTGAACAGCATGTTCAAGCTGAGATTCGAGCTCCACCTGTAAGACATCAAACTATAGAATAGCTTGACCAAGACTTCACCGGAGTGACCAGTCCCCTGTTACTCGTCCAAAAAATTTCGGCTCTCAGAAGCCGCGTCACTTCAAGGTACGAGCAATCACCGTTCAAACTGCGTGTACAGCCATTCAATGACCCCCATCACCTCGAACGATGCATCAAAATTTTATTGACACATAGGATATATATCATGGCCGCTATTCACGCTCTACAGTGCGGGATATGCATTCGAAGTACTGTCGCAACAAAATACCTTCCACAGTGGTCACATCTTTCGAAAAGCCCGTCCCAGTCCCAGACACTTACACCTGTCTCACCGGAGAGGTCAGCAAGAAGACCTGTTTCATAGGCCGAGAGCCTGTTCATCACAACCATGCCACTGTCTTGTCCGAGCGGGAGACGTGTGGATACACGTTGTCCACGACGAGCCGCCATTGACAACTGACTAGCAGCAGCACCTTGAATAGATCCTTTGTATTAATTAGTTTTTGAATGATACTCTATAAATTGTGCTACAACTCACCAGCACGACGATGAACTAGTCGGATAAATGGACGTGGATTCGCTGAGGGTGCACCAACTAAACCACGGAGTTGTCGAAAGTCGGGCCAAACTGAGACATGGGATCCGAGATAGCCATGGAAGTAGGGCGCAATGTCATGCTCATTAGGAGCAAGCTGGCAGAAGGCATCATGAACTGGATTCATGTTAGGTTGGGGGTTTGCAACTATGAGCAGACCATTAATACTGACACCTGCATCTAGGTAACAGTAAATACATACCGAGTGTTGGCAGTTCTTCGTAACTAGAGGTAAAAAAAGATGTGTGATAAATATCTGTGATGTTGGCTGCCGTGAAATCGTGAAAATCGTGTCAGTACAAAGGACGTGATCACCAGTGCAACATGCTAACCTCTAAATCCGCACTGCTCATTAGCACACTGCATCAAGACATGCCCATTCACGGCAGAGTCCACAATCCTGGTGGAACAAGGTGTGTCTGAGAGCATGCTGCAGAAACATTCTATGAAAAGCCCTCGACGCTGCAAGTAATCTGCCAAGCCATAAGGACGAATGCGGAAACGACCTGACTTTGGGCTGCAAACATAACTTTAAGTCAGTGGTTGGCAGTAAGTCAAAGTGAGCTACATACTATGCAACAGTGACAAGTTGCTTCACCTCACGTGAAAAGATGACGAGTTCTGTGCTTCCACGCTGGTACTCGATACACGGGCGAAAAATTGAATCCATGATGGCTAGCCTGGCCTACTGTACTATATCATGAGCGAGATGCTGACCTTTATACAGAGAGCCTTGCTGAATCCCTGGGCCATGTTATGCGAGGTAAATTTTGAATGCAAGTGTCCGTTCAATGAACTGCAAGAGCCCGAAATTAGTGGGTTCCTAAGTGTGCGGGTGCATCGGTGCCCATTTGCAAGTCATTGATGAACGTCCAACTGTCACATATACAGGCAATTATTTGAATTCAATGCTAGTATCTGCCCCCCATTTTTCCTTCTGTCTAATTCTCAATGAGTCTTACCTGTTCGCAACTTGAAGCACTTGAAAAAGTGCAACAGATATTGGACAGTGCAGGATTGTCCCCTATCTCAGTCACAAGCTCAGTTGTGTCATTGCTGTCATCACACCAAAATACACCAGACGTGGATTCAACCCTCGACACCATCTCCACTCCCCCATATCCAAGATATCAGTCTCCCGCTCCATATTATTTTACCACCGAGGAAATTTCACGGAGAGCCAACTATGTGAATCGAGCCACCAAAGTCAGCGCAATTGTTGATCACCCTGTTCATGCTATCCTCGAGTATCCCATAACAGCACCTGGCAGCATTGCACACCGTTTTGTTGTTGATCCCATATCCTTCGTGCAGCCTCAATCAGCATTCCAATATTCTCTTGGTGGAGGTCATGGTGGGCGTGAAAATGCAGTGTGCCTGCTTCTCCGAGATGATGCAGGCAAAGGTGTTCGTTGTCGCCAGCTTAAGTCATCGTGTATGTACATTAATGATGTCTGAGACTATTGATTTTATCATACTAATAAGAACGAGAACATACAGGCAATGGCCTCAAGGTATGTACATTCAATGAGGCCAGTTTCAGCAGTAATTATGCTGCATCTCCGACTTGGAGTCTGTCTCAGGCTGGATACAGTGATGATTCTGCAGAGGCAGAGGTTTTCAACAAGACTCTAGCATTTTTTTGTGCTGTCTCTGAACGGGGATGTGGCTTCGATGCAAACTTGGATTTAAGTCCTGAGATAGTACTAGACAGCTTTGATCTTCACTCCGAGTCAGAGTCCAGGGGGTGTGGGGCTCCCCTCATGTTATCTGTGAATAATCTTGGCCGTCCATATATTCAGTCAGTTCAACTTAAATGGCTAGAGTGTGTACTACATAGACTAATGATCCATTGCAGCTGCAAAAATTTCAATGCTTCTGTTTCTCGAGCTCGCACCCATCTTGTCCTCCGGAATTTGGACGAATTCAATACTGATTACTTGCGGGCACTTATAGAGAACGACCTGAAGGCAATTTCCTTTTATGAAACACGAGCAAAAAATGATGGATATGGTCCTCTCATGCCGTGCACATTTGTTGCCTCCCCTGCCGAGCAGAAGCAATGTTGTCGTGAGTTACTTTCTGTCATTTGAAGTAGCATATATCCTAATCTGTTGGGCAGCATATTGGCATCGAAATCATGAAGGAAAATTGGCTCGTGGAACACTTCGTAGCTGGCCAGTTCCATGCAAGGCAAAGTTCGACATATATACACCATACAATCTCACTGCCTGCCCACAAGTCCTCGTTATCTGCACCAACAATCACAGCCACCCTCCGCCTGCACCTGTCAAAACTCCAGAAGCTATTAAAGCCATTTTCTATGAGTTGCTGCTCACACTCAGCTGGAAACTTGCTGATGCAACACCACATCGGATTTTACTTGATTCTGCATTCATACAAGCTTTACAAGCTCACCTCAGTTGGAAGGAAACCTGCAATCCCACACTGTCAGACCTTCACCTGTCTCTTGGGAACTCTGACCATGCTCGGCGCCTCATCAACACTTTGCGGTTTAATGAATTTCCAAGTGGAACAGGATTCGCAGGTGCTATTCACTTGGCAACAAAACACGATCTTTTGCCCATTGACGAGCGCTATATTCGTTGTGCGGAGTCACATCAGCTATCCACCAAATCAGCATCAAATCCACCTGCGGCCACCACATCAACTTCGATTAGTAGTCTGCGGCTGGTCATTTGTATGACAAAGCGGATGTCATGGCGTCTGATGCAAGCAAAACGGCTCTCGATCGACACTTCATTCAAACGTGTACATGGCTGGCAGGAATTTGAATTTGAGTCTTGGGACGTTGCCCACATGAAATGTAAGTTCAATACCAAATTGCTCGACTCAGCTGATGGCCATGACCATGTATTGTAGCTGTTATTGGTGCTCGAGCATTCACGACATCTCAATCAGCACAAGCACACTTCATCCTCTTCCAACAAATATTCGAGATTGCCAGTGCGGACACAGGTTGTGCTGTTCAGTTTCAATACATGCACGGAGAAGGGATTCAAACCATCATTGCTGATGGACATAAAGGTCAAGGTCTTGGTAAGTATATTTTCTTGGAATCCGAGTCAACGTGAATTGCAATTTGAATATATTCAATAATTCCACAGGCCTAGGTATGTATTGCGTATACCTGTGTAAAGACTCAATACAGGCTTGCTGCTATGACACCACTGCTCTACTTCGTGACCTGGATCCATATGACCATCTGCGCCGCTTCTACCGTCTATGTCTTGCGCACTATAAACGGAATATCCGTAGTCTCCGTGGTCAAATTCCCAAAGATGTGGAAATTGCCATGTTGACGATCGCATCAGCGGAGCCTCATCCTGATCTACAGGGAACATTGAAGAAGATAAAGAAAGGTGGAAAAAAGGCTGCAGGTTCGTGATATTTTCTAATTCATGTTTTGAAGTATTTCTAAGGCAAGATTACTACCGGCAGCATGGCTTAAAGATAAAATTGAGGGCACGAAGTTTGCGCTACCGGCACTCTATCAGCCAAACAGTCTCATCCCGCTCGAAATTTGGAAGGCCTCACCAACTACTACCAATGGAAACGAGCAAGCACACAGGAATATCAATCGTGATGGTGTGGGTCTTACACTATTGGGAGGAATCATGCGAGGATTTCACTACGACACAAACATCAGCGCTAGTTTGGACCTTTTCGATGCATTTGGCATCAACTCCAGCGACCGTTTATCTACCCATGCTTACCGTGCAAAACGTGCTCTTGCTCGACAAGGTAAGCAATACTAGTATATTCATGTTATTATCTAGAACACTTAAATGGTTTTCAGTCAGATATACAAGGTCTTCGCCCTCGGAGGGCAACACAAGCTTCGCATGTGTTCATCTCACTCCTCCACCTGTTGAGCCCCAACCTGAACTCATTCCCAACTCGTCTCTGATGACCGGTTCCACCGGCGGCGCCATCCCAGTATCGACATTCAGCACTCTCACTTATGCACTAACTGCAGGTGCACACGTTATGGATCATCGAGCTCGTTCCCCATCGTTTAGTGCTGCACCTCCCACTGTATGCGCAGTACATCACCATATCTATCCCACTCGAGATCAACTGAGCACTTTCAGTACATTGCAAGGTGCTGTAGAGTAGATGATACGATGCCCGGCGGTGCAATTTTTATTAATGGTGCAAAGATTACATGTATGATGCGATGAGATAAGTATTTGGGGGGCAGGAATCAGAATCAAGAGCGCGCGCGACCTTAAACTCGACGTCGGTCGCGGCCTTCATAAGATGAGGTGAGAATGTCAGAGAACCGCGAGCCTGGAACTGAGCGGCCGAGCAAGCGAGACACATATTACAGTGACCTATCTCCGTATAATACGAGGGAACGGACATGCATAATATCCCGTATGATACGGGCCAGCGGACCATGGGCCCATGATAAAAATATCCTCGACTATGACGGATGGGCCGGGAGGCAAATTATTCCCGATGGAGACGGGTGGGCCCATGCAGGGAATATATAGAGTAGATGAGTGGGCCGATGTACATGAATATTAGGTAGACGGGTGGGCCGAGGTAGTTGGATATTATGCAGATGGGTGTATTAAGGTAGATGTGTATGAGATAGATGGGTAGGTACTTGTTATCACATTCACGGGTGGGCCCAGACACATATTAAATTAGACGGGTGGGCCGAGGGTATTATAAAATATTGTATTAGACGGGTGGGCCCAGACGCATATTAATTAGACGGGTGGGCCGAGGGTGTTGTATGGGATGTTGTATTAGACGGGTGGGCCGAGGGTGGTATAAAATATAGATGGGTGGGCTCATGTGTATCATAATTGTAGACATGATGGAGCTGAGGTAGTTGTACATCAACCAAATCAGAGGAGGTAATAAATCAAAGTTACCAAGTTCCCGGAGCAGCAGGTGATCTCCTGACATGGCCTTTGATGGTGCACAGGTTGTCTTGCAGAATGTGGAATCCGGGGTGCGAAGCTTGTGTTGCCCTACGAGAAGCCAAGTTCCGACCACCAGAATTTGAGTCAACTGTACCGAGCTCCGAGTTCCGAGTTCCGGGACCCGGAACTCAACACATAATTTAGTTAATACTTTCCGTGTTAAATGGCCAACCGAAGTTGAGATGTTTCTGAAGAGAGCAGCAGGTGCTCTCTTGACATGGCCTTTGATGGTGCGTAGGTTGTCTTGCAGAATGTGGAATCCGGGGTGCAAAGCTTGTGTTGCCCTACGAGAAGCCAAGTTCCGACCACCAAAATGTGAGTCAACCATACTCAGAGGAGGTAATAAATCAAAGTTACCGAGTTCCCGGAGCAGCAGGTGATCTCCTGACATGGCCTTTGATGGTGCACAGGTTGTCTTGCAGAATTTGGAATCCGGGGTGCGAGGCTTGTGTTTCCCTACAAGAAGCCAAGTTCCGACCACCCAAATTTGGGTCAACCGTACCGACTTCCGAGTTCCGGGACCCGGGAGTCGACAAATGAATATCTGATGACCAGCACACTTCCAATCAGGTAGTATTTCATTGAGCAATGGATAATAATACATCTTTGACAGCCAAAATTATCTCAGGCTCCCTTATCTGATCCTCTCTATCTCCACCCCCTTTAACACCAAAGTCCGGACATTCAGCATTCAGTGTCTGATTTCCCAAGATTAACATCCAGCATGAACGGTTCTTCCCCTTCCACTCCTGATAGTATAAACATCTGGCGCACTTGGGCCCTGACTGTGACTTATGAAGCAGGGGAATATACCGAACAGAAATTCAAGGCAGAGAAGACTGGAGGAGGCCCAGTCATACCTTCCCCCAACCTAGACACTGATCTGGTGATGGCGTGCGATCGCTTGGCTGATGTACTCATAAAGGCATATAAAAATCCCAGTGGGTCTTCCTGCAGATTCGGAAAATTCGTTTTATCATTCAAATTCCTGCATGACAGTTCAGATGCAGGTGGATATTGCAAGATATAGCAAATTGATCTCCCCGAAGGACACCGGGCATAATGAACAGAGAGAGGCTAGGTTGCTTGAGAGGTGTCCTCCTGGCCATGAAGGCAAAAGGTTGGTCGACGAACCTGCCACAATTCTCGATGCATCCGGTGCCATCATCGCATGGTACCTCCCAGACGCCCTGACCGACACCACCCAGGTGTGTAATATACATTGTTACTCAATGGATATTGAATATCAAATGGAACCTACAGAAGGAAATCAGGGAAGCCACCAATTTGCTCGCTCCAAGCCTCGAAAAAAGTGTAAGGGCTGATGGCAATTGGCGAACTAATCAAAAGTGGTTCAACCGGGGCTCGGAAGATGTTGGGGCAACTCCCGGATGCATCAATTTATCTCCGGCATGGTTTCAACAGGGACACGAGGTAGGATCTGATGAGATGGTGATTCCGGCAGTCATACTCACCAATCCCAAAGAATGTGTCCGATCCGGAGGTATCTGCATCATTGAAGGGACCTTCCTGCGAGAATATCCTCAAAGCCATTTCAAGGCCAGCAGCCATCGCGTCCGCGGCACTCAGAGTCATGCATCCTGAGCAGTACTGGGCAGGGTTGCGAACCTTGTCAAACCTAGGACATATAGCAGTAAGCAAGGATCTGCCACAGATGCCGGAGGCCCTGCAGTACTGGGCATCGGTGTTTAACACCCTCTCCATCATTTCCAATCGGGAAACCCCAAATCATCGAGACCATTTGTCCATTGCTGAATGCTTCGACATTCTAACCACCGTGGGGAACTATTCTAATGCTCGGATGACAATGCCAAGCCTTCAGCTGGAGTTCAAGTACAATTCCGGCTGTATGATTGCGTTTTCCGGAAGGATTGTGAGACATGGAGTTTATGATGTGGAAGGGGATCGGATTGCTTGGGCATGGTATATGAGGGATTCTGTTCACATTTACGCTGGTGTTCCATCATGTGGATGGGCTAGTGTGGATGGTCCATACAGTGTGTGAAAGATCAAACAAAGAGCATGCATTGTGACCTATATACATTCCAACAAATGAATACCATGTACCAATAGTTATCTGGACCTCAATACTCAATTGTGAGCATTTGCGAAGTGATATATGGGACTGAATAATTTGGATGCGAGCCTCGGTATTCGATAATCGGAACTCGGGACTTGACATATGGGAGTCCCGAGTGCCGGGGTACTGAGTCCCGACACCCGGACCTCAGCACTTGATATTTGAGACTGGGGGAAGATGTATCAATATGCTCAAATTAACATTTGTTATTGCCGTACACATTTGACAAAACCCTGAACCCCGACATTGTGAACTCGGGACTCGACACTGTTCTGAATACCGAGTCCCGGAAGCCCAGGTCCCGAGTCCCGAATTTCGGAGTTCGGGGTTCGGCGACCCGGAGCTCGGCAACTGTGTTGGGTGTCAGGGTATGCGGAGCATTGGAGATAGCATGTGTCAGTATTTTGCATTTCATGGTTCATGTTTGGCTGACACATGCGATCTCCAATGTTCCGGATACCCTGACACCCAACACAGTTGCCGAGCTCCGGGTTGCCGAACCCCGAACTCCGAAATTCGGGACTCGGGACCTGGGTTTTGGGACTCGGGACTCGGAGCTCGTGACCTGGGACTCGACAGTGTTCTAAATACCGAGTCCCTGACGCCCGATTCTATAATCACGAAAGATGAACCATGAAACGCAGAATACTGACACATGCTATCTCCAATGCTCCGGATACCCTGACACCCAACACAGTTGCCGAGCTCCGGGTCACCGAGTCCCGAAGCCCGAGTCCCGAGTCCCAAATTTCGGAGTTCGGGGTTCGGTGACCCGGAGCTCGGCAACTGTGTTGGGTGTCAGGGTATCCGGAGCATTGGAGATAGCATGTGTCAGTATTCTGCGTTTCATGGTTCATCTTTCGTGATTATGGAATCTTTCGTGATTATAGAATCGGGCGTCAGGGACTCGGTATTCAGAACACTGTCGAGTCCCAGGTCACGAGCTCCGAGTCCCGAGTCCCGAAACCCAGGTCCCGAGTCCCGAGTCCCGAAACCCGAGTCCCGAGTCCCGAATTTCGGAGTTCGGGGTTCGGTGACCCGGAGCTCGGCAACTGTGTTGGGTGTCAGGGTATCCGGAGCATTGGAGATTGCATGTGTCAGCCAAACATGAACCATGAAATGCAAAATACTGACACATGCTATCTCCAATGCTCCGCATACCCTGACACCCAACACAGTTGCCGAGCTCCGGGTCGCCGAACCCCGAACTCCGAAATTCGGGACTCGGGACCTGGGCTTCCGGGACTCGGGTGCAAGATTTTTGAATGCATAGAATATTTTACATCTTGTATACAATGAACACTGAATGGGACTACACTCCTTTGCCTTTCCTCAATTTCTCTAACATGTCAGTGTACATCTTCACCTCTGCCATCTTGGCTTTGATGCCCTCATCTTGCTCCTCCATCAATGCTTCCATGCGTTCTTTAATCCACCTCAGTCCCATAAGTGGTGGAGTCGAAGTGTTTCTCAACTTCTCTGGAAGAACCAAAGCATCATCCTCAACATTAAGCTAGAACAGATAAGTCATCAATCAAGGCAATTCAGCTAACATCTTACCGCCCAATACTGGTAGTGAGAGACGCAGGAAGCCATTATTTCATCCCACTGCCATGGTTGATCTGGGATTGTGGTGTTTCCCATCCACCATGGACATGTATATGCAAACACAATCCGGGACGGATGTCCTGCAATTGCCTCATCATCAAATGAAAGG